CAGTTTCTCCAATGTTAAGTAGAGAATCCTGAGCTCAAGGTAAAGTGTAGTTAAAAAAACAATTTTAATAAGTTACCTCGACTTTAATTAGATTTTAAATTACACACTATGTTTAGTTAAAGCAGCTACCAACAATATGATGTCAACACGAGCCTTTAAAGAACTTTAAAGGTTTATCTCAGCCTGTAAATATGAATCTGGACGTAGTTTATGGTTAAAAAAGGTCCAACTTTATAGAGTTAACACTAAAACTCTTTAAGCATCCCGTCCTACGGCTTCTCGTTTGTTCAGACTTTCTGTTCTCTGAGTTCACGACTAAACCTGCATTTTTTACATCCGAGGCTACAAACACTAAACTTCGGTGCTTCCTGCCGGCTTCGTTACCGCCTTTACAGCCTCCGTCAGCTGTTTGACGTCGGCTGAATATCAAGCTCGTCTGACGGCTCATATCAAAACAGAGGAACCGGGTCAGCTGTCGACTCCGACGGCGTTTGGATTACACGCGACTAGCGGCTTCAGATCAGCCTGAAATCTCTTGTGTGAGGAGTGAAGGAAGCAAAGCGAAGGCTGGATGTTGCTGCATAAATAAAACAGGTTTTCACTGCTTCCTGCTGCAGGTCGCAGACAGTAAGAAGCTTAACTTGTGCGTCTTTTAAAACTCAAGTTCAAAACGACTGATCGATGCTCTCTGCAGCTCTTTAACCAGCTCGGCTCTTTATTTCGCTCCTTCCTGCTTTTCTTTTTAGTGTCATCGAGTCCTTTTTGTCCTGAGGTGAAGTGCTGCACACATTAAAACTTTACACCCACATTCTTCGCTTTTTCTCACATTATTGCTAAAAGGTGCGACTTCGGGCTCGTTGGAGACGACTTGAGCTCGACCAGCCGCTGCAGAGGAACGACGGAAAGAATGTGAAGACTCTGGGAGGCCTCCGCCGATCTGTCAGCCTGCTGCTCCATATGCTCGGGCCTGACACGAATGCCTGACATGACATTTTCTTAAGCGCGCTACCGAGGCTAATTTACTGTCACACGACACCGTTATGTTTTGTTGGCATGCGAGTCCTCCTCCTCGACTCAAAGTGCTTCTGATTTTATTTGACGTTCAACACATTTGCGACACGCTGACGGACTGAACAATAGAAAACACACAAATCCATCTGCGCCTTGCAAACAATGCTCCTCCAGCTCCACTACCTTCACTCTCTTTCCTACGTTTGTCCGTTTCTCTCCTGTTTAAAGCAACAGGACAGATTTATTTACTCGCATTTCATCTGCAGGAGTAAATTCAGGAACTGGAGTTTCCACGTCTTTCATTCTTTCATGTTGCTCGACAAAGACTGGAAGAACGAACGCGCCTCTAAACAGATGAGTTCCACCGATAATAATAATCATCTGTGTTTTGTGTGTTTTCAGACTCTGACAGAGACCAAGAGGACAGCCATGTTTTCAACCAGACCAGAGATCCAGCCGTGAGTGAACACTTCTCCGCCTTTAGTGAGAATTTTACACCCAAATGAGCAGAAGAAATGTTTAAAACATGACATTTTGGAGACTTTTTCTTGCTTCTCTGCTCTGAGGCTCAACAGTTTTAGATGCATTTGCAATAAAATCTACACGACTTGTCGATGATTTTACTTTACAGTCGATTGAATTGTTTATTTTAGATGATTTGGAAGTCCTTCGTAGATCCATAATCTTGTTCCTGAAGGCCTCACAGCTACTCTAGACCCCAAATTCATAATTATATGGATGTGAAGGTGTGATAAACGTGTGTGTTTGTTGATTTAAATGATGCAAACAGCTGCAAAATGTGAGTTTTCTGCAGCTGCATTGAAGGAAATAAGGAAAATAAGGTGCAAAAATGTGCTGACGGAAGTCCAAGAAAGAACAGAAAAGAGTGTTAAAAAGAATAAATACAGTAAAGCGATAAAAATAAACATAACAGCAGCGTATAAAAGGGCTGCTTGGACTCTTGTACGGTTAGAAAAACAAAAGCTGTGTCATTTGTTTCAGTGACTGATCTTTATCTTCGTTTCTTCAGGCGCGCAGAAAATCAAATGTTTGCTCGTTCAGATAAAAGTCGTTTTATTTAATAACGCGGCTTTAACTCGGCGGAGCGACTCGTCGGTGTGATTGCAGTTTGACGAGCGAGACGAGCGACGCCAGATGTTTGTGAAGCGCGACGGCCAGTTTTAGCGACGACGTTAAGGCGCCGCGATCACGTGTATTTCACATTGAGCGCGTTATTAGGCTCCGTGAAGAGAGCTGCGTTCGATGCACCTCGTAAACAGACAGCAGGCTTCAGTTTTAGTGTCTACTGGCTGCTGAAGGTGTGCAGTTTAGATTATTATGATGTCTGTGTGTAAGATTTTTAATTAGATTCGAGTACGAGGCAAAAAAAAAAGCAGTTTAGCATCGAACCAGAAGTGCACAAGCATGACTAGAACGTACAAGTTCAACATATTGGGTTCGGTGTGAAGCAAAGAGGGATTTATTCAAGGCTGCAGGAAACAGGGCACACTGGGAATCACGTGAGGGTAGTCGAACGAGGGAGGGAATTCCAGGGGAGGTTTCCAAGAGGGACCGGGAGACAGAACCGGTCTGAGACTGGAGCTCGGCTGCAGAAGCTGGGTCGGGGAGGCGTTGATCCAACGGGGAGGCTCTGGGGACAAACGCAGACAAAACAGAAGTCAGACAAATTGAGACACTCAAAGCCACAGACTGTATAAAAGATGGACGTAGCAAAAATGAAGCCAACCCGGAAGTGTCAAAAACCTGCAGTATCACTACGTCCACTAGCTGCTGGCTCCACAAAGCCCTGGCTCCCATAGACTGGA